AACCTTGAGAGTAGCGTTACGACTTTCTTCCATTTTAAGAGATTCAGCGGTATATTTGCCGATATCTGCCAGATAAATAGTGGACAATATGGTATCGCCGTCTATATAGAATTTGGCGGTCTTATTTTTGACATCGAATCCAACCGTGCCAAGATATTCTGAAGCCAATCCGCACATAATATTAGTATATTCAAGTCCACTTTTTTCAACCTTTTCACGGAACGCGGCTTTGGTATCGGTCTCTATATGATCACCGATTCTTTTTTTCAGACGAGAGATAGTAAAATGTATTTGTTATTATAATTGTTTACAAAAAAGCATAGTCGATAAGAAAAAAGTAGATAAACTTACTCAGACTCTATACCAAATTCAGATGGATAAAACCTTCTCACACCGGCAGCTTTAGCAGCGTTCAACAACGGAGTTTGAAGAGTGTCAAAATCATGATTGCCCGTGGCTATTCCGGGAGCTGCAGCGCTGATTAGAGCATCGGTTCCCCTAAGAACGTTAACAAGATCATCATGCTGATTATAATCAGCGTAGACAATTTCTGCACCCTTGGAAGCCAACAAATCGGCTTTCTCGTTCGCGGTTTTTGGCAGTCTTCGAAGAATTTTCACGTTAAAAGATCCATCGTTCAACAAGGCTTCGGCTATATGATAACCCAGTCCTCCGGTGCCTCCTGCGACGGTTATGTTGGTGAATGGTGAGTTGCTCATGGTAAATTAAGGGATATGTATTGTTGCGTATATGTTCTGAAATCAGGTTTGATTATCATTGGTCATCTTGTGTCATCCCGATTTTTTCTGCGCAAATGTCTAGATCGAGTCTCAGGAATCTTTTCAAGTTCTGGAAACTCTGCACTCACGGCTTCCATTTCACCTGCTAAGTAACGCTGTCTAACACCCCGAAAACACAGCCAAGATGGTAATAACCCCCATCGAGAGTTTCCAGAACTTTACATGGAAGTGACTTCCTATCAATTCACGCTCGAGGAATATTGATACGTACCAACTCTCCAACTGAGAAAGTTATTTGCCGTTTTCTTTTCTCTGCAATTGTTCTCATTCACTCAATATATTTTCAGTTGCCATTTTACGAAATACTTCATGAGATGGAGTTGGATCGTGGTCAGATCCAGGCACGCTGATGTTATCTAATTCATTTATATTATTGCTTGTTATTCCAGCATCGTTCGACTCACAAGTATCTGCTATTTCTTCCCTATACTCATTATCCTAAATTTCCACGTTATCTGGGATATCTTCTTCTTCTCTTATCCCCGATCGTAAAGTTCCTTAATTAAGGCATAATTCGAACGAGGTGCTTGTCCAAATACAGGCTCAGCTCATAGGGTATTCGACCCGTTGCCGTACATACTTGAGTATTCAAAGCACCCTATTATGGGGATTGATGTACTTGTGTTATAATAATAAAGCTTTACATTTTATTCAGAAAAACAAATACTTACATGTCACCATCTACAATCCGAAACTCCGCTGAAAGTTTTGTCTCGAGTATATCATTTCCCTTTTCAACCAACCCCCTGTGATTAATCTTTTATTACTTGTGCCACAAATTTCTTCCCATTGTCTGAATGCAGGATTCGCGGCGCGCCGATAATTTGAGTAAGAAATTAGCTACATACTTAGCCTCTTTACTTTTCAAAAGGCCTTGTCCAGGAGAATCGAGTAAAGTGGTCTCTTGCATGCGCTATCCATCGATATTCTCTATCTGGTCGTGCCCTCATGTCTATAAAGTCGATCTTCAGAAAAAAGCCAATTAATTTTATTAACAATCACATAATGCATACTTGCGTGCGGGATAAAAATTCTAACTCAATAATTGGTTTTATTTCTGATGATGTCTCCAATGGTCTTCTGTTTGCGCAAGTGTTGCAAGCAGTAACACATTTTTGCTACAAGTGGTTGTGAATCCAGCTATACTGTTAACATTTAGGCGGTAATGCATGTCGTGTTCGTAAATAACTTACGCAGTCATAGTTTTTATAACCCGTATGCTGTAATCCTTCATGTAACCCTCCCCTCCAATCACATCATACAAGCGTTCTCTGACACGGACAATTTTTTCTCAATTAAATGATTTGACTCTCCAATTCTCATGATTGCAAAATGCTTCATAACTCACTTTTTCAAATTTGAAGATTATCAGCAACCAGCACGTCCATTGCAACATTAGCAAGCTCCTGTGAAATCAATGCCTTTTCCCAAAATTTGGATTCTAAGTTGTTGAGATATACTAATGTATTGAATTTCTCAATATTCATAAAAGCAAATGCATTTACATACATTTTAAGTGGATTTTTTTGGTATCCCGTAGACTGTTTTCAGTCCAAATTTAAACCGAATTTTAATTCACTGACAAAATCACATTATATCTCCCGAATTACTGAGTAAATACCCCAACATTTAGAACCTCAGATCCGTAGCTAGCATTGAACAAAGTCGCATGACCCGATCAGTGCTGTTGTCAATATAAGTCACGAAAGTACTGACCTCTAGTATTGTCAACTGTCTATTATTATTTTTGGTAACACTAATAGATAAGCTGTAAAAACATGCCTCAAACTGCCTAATCTTAATCGTTGTCTTGGTGTAAAGTAAATAAAAATAAATTATTCAACATTTTAATTTACATATACATTACTTGTCATAGATGCATTCTTTGTTGTAAAATATAGTTTATTAAAATTGTAAGAATTAGACAAAACGTTTATCTTAATAAACTAATTAATAATAACATAGTAAAAATGTCTTAAAAGTAATGTCCGGAAATAATACCAAATCGAGTGCTCTGTCTTTAAAAATCCATTACTCTTCAACAACTCATCAGTTTGTTGAGATTTTTAGCTCATTGGGTTTGGAATAACATGAAAAAAATAGCGCTAATAATAGGGGGGGCCTAACATGGTCTCAATAGGGTAAATTTTACAAAAAAATTTTTTGTAAAAAATTTTTTTAAGATGTCAGATGTAGTATTTTTCGTATATACCAGTTTTTGCTACAATTATTAGCTTGTTTAAAAGCTCAGAATAAGAAAATTTTTTTTATTAATAGTCACGTTAAGATAGCATAACAATAACATTATTAAAAATGCATAACAAAATTGAAGGGTAAAGCCATCAAAATTTGGCCTACAGACTAAGGGATAATTATTGGTATTGAAAGTAACTTGATATCAAGCCATTAGACTACTAGTTGATATTAAGGCGAATTTAAAATGCGAATTTGCCTTTGTATTAAACGCCGTTAGCTTCCCATACAATCTGCTTTTGCCATGACCATCAATAAGGCACAATGTGTCAAACTTTAAATTACGGAGTTTATTTGCCGACTCCAGTATTTTCTTGTAGTCAACTTTATGTTGCTTGCTCTATCTAGGACTACGTCTAGACAAAGCCTTAATAACAGGCCGGCATGCTGAAGTGGGATGTACGCGGAACATTGTATATCCAGAGGTGTTATAATAGATATAGATTGTTTTTACGTAGACCATTAGTATTAGGACCAATACCTCAGAGCGAAATTAAGCAGTTCTATTTAGCATTAAAACTTGATATTTAACCCAATAATAAACTTTATATGAAAGGAGGAATGATTATAGTGTTTAATATTTTATCTTCGTCATTGCTATAGTCTGTAATTACGCATATTGATATGTTCAATTTATTGACGGTTAACGAAGCGACGGATTAATAAACTCGTAAATAAGTAAAATAGTACACTAACTAGATAAAATTTTTAAAACAATAAATGGTATCAATCAAAAGGACAAAGGACAAAAATTTATAAAACGCGCTATTGTATGTCAGATCAGAATTATAGCATATGAATATAGTTTGGCATACTACTTCAGTCTTGTCTTATTACTATGTCAAGTTCTTGGACGTGTGGCATACTAATACTATGGTATTTACCTAACTGGACAAGAGACACATCCATTGATGAGTCATATTATAAGCCACGATTTCAAGTATCATGGTGACATATATATTATTAAAGGGTGTTCAAGCGAATAATTTCTTCGTAGAATATCTGGTTACAAGTATAACTATCGATCATTTTCATTAAAGCATAGAATTAAACATCGAGCAGTTAATAAGGCGAATATTAATTAATTATATAGCAGCAGAGTCAATAATATTAATGTCGAAGTATTATTCCGATCTGACATACAACAACATATCTTCTGTTTTTTCCTGAAGAAACCCAACTATCCCTCCACTATATCGAACGAAACTACATCTAAACTCTAATTGCATATACCCCTTAAATGCATATGATGAAGAGGGCCCTTATTATTATTCATAATTAAAAAAATAAATCACGCTGACTACTGATATTAGTGCATGGGCGCAATCAGTAAATTTAAAATTCGTGGCTTATTGGATTTGCTAACCAGTGAAAAAAATTTTCTACCGTAGTACGTATCAAGTTTTGGAATTGTACCTGGGGATGTACCCGGGGATAATTATCTAGTTATTTGATTGCCAGATAGTCGGTTTTCAGTTGATTGTATAGATTAATTATGCTTTATCGAGTTTGTTACATTGATGAGTACATCGACGAGTAGTTTTAGTTTTTGTTCATATTGTCATATTGTACTATTACCATCATATACATGTACGATAAACTATCTGTACCCGGGTACATTTCAAAAACTTCGGTCTACGAACTCCGTGGCAATATGATGTCACTACACAGTATATCGACCAATAAAAAGTATAGACTGATATCGACAATAACTTTTGTTTGGTGTTGTCTCATACCCACCCCTTACTGCATAGATAACAGTATTTGGTTTACTCATACACACACACATATATATACAGTATATACCCAGATGCTAACGCTCCATTGCACATGTGCAAATACGTTATCTACAAGTTACATACAACGAACAAATCCTTGTCGCCACACCATATTCTGCACATACGACAGTGTACACTCACAAGTAAAACCCGTATAAGAAACCTTGATATGGCCTATAAGAAGATTATTTCTGGACCCGATCTAACTAATGACTCTCATTATAAGAGATTTGGTATTTGGTCGGTCCAACCCGATGAAGATGGTTAGTATAAACGATTGATTGAATTTGCTCATTCTGAACAACATGGCATGGATGGCTATTTACCTGTTATAATTTTGTTATCTTAGGAGTGAATCATTTTGCCCATTTGGCCATTAGTACGCTTTCGTACTATATATTACGTGGACGACTTTACGTCGAGTTGTCCGGGCGGCATATTTACATCAGAAGACGGATATTTGAAGCGACAACCGTTTTGCCGCCCTAAGGTGGGTGATGAAAATTTCAGCAAAGGCTAGCAGCATCCAAGGCCATCGATGACCGTTGCCGTTCTGCTAAACTGGTTACTAAGGCATAATCTTAGTGATAAACAGGCTGAGGAGACTAGTAACAGGACCATAAGGAGACTAGTAACAGGACCATAAGGAGACTAGCAACAGGACCATAAAGAGACTAGTAATAGGATCATAAGGAGACTAGCAATAGGACAATAAGATATTTTAAATAATTATAAACATTTCTTAGAGAGTTTCAGTCTTTTTTAGGATGGGGATTACGTGGCTTTAAATGGCACGTCATGATACTTTATGTCATCATGAATGCGTCAAGTGTATAAAAGCTCGAGCTGATGTTTCGCTCTCTTTTATTTCAATTCGGTCTCAGAGACTTCTGTAACGCGCTTTCGATTACTGAACAGTAGCTCGAAATTTAATACCAGATAATGAATTATTCTCCATTACCATATCAAATATTGATATTTTCTTTCACTGCACTGTGTTCGATTTATTTAGAAATTCTATGTAGAATAATTATTTATTGTATTTTTATTGGATTATTTAATACTGTGGTAGTTAAATAAAAACGACCTTTTGCTCAGAAACGAAGAATTCATATCATAAAAATGAGTTTCTAACTCTTGTTCTGAAATAAATATCTAATTACCGATAACGAAACATCGTCATAAAACTTTGCAAGCGATCCAATATTGAAACTGATTTGTTCGAACGAAAGAATAATAAAGGCAATTTAAATACTCTTTAAATCCCTCGTAACAAAAATGAGTGAAGAAGAATGTACCGGTATATTGTACATCTTGTTTGCTGGCAATAGATGTTGCACTCACTGGGAAGGAGCGACATAGTTTGCTAAGAAGACTTACGTTTGATACACGGAGCAACACATTTGCCAAGAAGACCTACGTTTAATAAAACGGAGCGATACTATTCACTGAGAAGAGCAATGTTCGAACAAGAGTTAAAGATGTTGTGTTAATAATATTATTTATCAAAAACGGGGCGAGTCTTTCCGTCGGCTCGTAACGGAGTGGTTTTCCTATGTGTTTTCTCACCTCGTGAATAACTTTCTTAACCAACATTACAGCATTAAGAAGGCTAATACCGACAATGTTAAGTGAAAGAGGGTTAGTGTTGTGTTTATAATATCTATAGTACGTATATAGAAAGGGCGACCAGCAAAGATATTGGGAACATTTATTATGTAATTATTTGTAGAAAAGACCAACGAAACCGATTTTCCTCTTCATTCATCTTCGCTATCATTACAAAAAACGCGGGATCCACTAGTAATTGGACATCTAAGGTAAAACTGTTAGTATGAATATCCAAGTCCCTATTAGTTGTCTTACCGCCGTCGTCCGCATTGAGCAATTCTTCTAAATGTTAACTTAACACTCTGAGGTCCCCACTTGCGCATCCTGTCATCACGTTGCCATCTTTGGCAGCGACACTCACGACACCTATTACAGCATGTCCTCTGCCCTTATACTTGGGTCTGATACGTTCTCTACAAATGCCCTTTTAGCGTTCAATGTATTTCTTCCAATCAGTTTTAATATTTCCTCTCCAAGATATCCCGAATTCAATCGTAACAAAAGAGTAGTCACACACGCTAATTATAGCATAGAAAAAGGACTAGATATATTAATATGAGAAGAGCAAGTTCATTTGACATTTTAGTTCTTATAATTTTTTTTCTAATAATGAGTAGTTCTTATACTCTGAAATACATATTAGATTTTTGTTTCCTTGGTGAATTATTCGATATAGTTATAAACCACTAATTTCAATATCGTTCGCCTCTTGACCTGCGAATATACTCGTGGCATTATGATTATTCTTCGTCTAAATATAAATGCGCTTTGGACAGCTATAATTATGCCCCAACACTATAGCTTCCGAGATAATCTCATTGGAAAAGAATAGTCAATTAATTTTGAGGAGGGCAAAACCGTCTAGGACTAGCTTTTACCAATCGACACCTGGTTATGTGTAGTAAAATCTGTCTAAAGGTCGTTTGGATTTAACCAAGAGCAGAGAAACCACAGCTTTATTCGAACATAACTAAATCCAAAGATCAACAATTAATTGCTCTCCTGTAATTGTTGTCTCGACAGTTTCATTTACCCAGTCGATATTTTTGTACGTGAGCGCGTGTGCGTGCAACGTTTTGCAAAATAAACCTATATCATGTGTTAAGAGTTTAACAACGCATATGAGTGTGAGCACCTCTTAGTCAAATTTAGAACATCAAACACTCTCCCATGCCACCAAAGATATGGAACATAACTGACACATCTTTATTATAAATTGTTTAACAAACTTGCTATTTAATGCTCAATGCAGATAAATTAAATTTTGTCAAGATTATTTTCCCTAAAATTAGTATAGAAATTCCGTGGCTTGTATTTGACAATATAATTTATCCTGTAATTTGTGTCAAATACTCTATACTAAACATACTACTTACCACTTTTATACAACTCAATCTTCTCCTTTATTTTTTTCTTTACTTCTAACCCATCTTCATAAAAAGTATACACTTTACTTATTGCTTTACTATATCCCTTTTCAGCTGCCTTTTCATAGAATTCAAGTGCCTTTTGAATGTCTGCTTCTACTCCAATTCCATTTTCATAATACAGACCAAGCATATATTGTGCATAAACATTCCCTTTTTTAGCACTAAATTGGCAGAAATCAGTTACAAAACTAATTTTAAACCTTGATCCAGACATTTCACTATAATGCCTACCATTTTGAACTTGTATTGACTTATGTACTTGTTTTACTGCACTCTGATATAACTCAGTTGCTTTTTGTTCATCTTTTTCTACTCCAGTTCCATTTTCATAACACATACCAAGATTATATTGAGCATCAGCATGTCCTTGTTCAGCTGCTTTTTTATACCATTCAACTGCTTTTTGTTCATCTTTTCCTACTCCAGTTCCAAGTCTATAACATTGACCAAGACCAAATTGAGCACTGACATATCCTTGTTCAGCTGCTTTTTTATACCATTCAACAGCTTTTTGTCCATTTTTTTCTACTCCAATTCCATAAAAATAATACACACCAAGATTATCTTGAGCACTGGCATATCCTTGTTCAGCTGCTTTTTTATACCATTCAACTGCTTTTTGTTCATCTTCTTCTACTCCAGTTCCATTTTCATAACACATACCAAGATTATATTGAGCATCAGCGTGTCCTTGTTCAGCTGCTTTTTTATACAATTCAACTGCTTTTTGTTCATCTTTTTCTACTCCAATTTCATAAGAATAACATGCACCAAGATTATATTGAGCATCAGCATGTCCTTGTTCAGCTGCCTTTTTATACAATTCAACTGCTTTTTGTTCATCTTTTTCTACTCCAGTTCCATTTTCATAATACACACCAAGATTATATTGAGCATCAGCATATCTTTGTTCAGCTGCTTTTTTATACCATTCAACTGCTTTTTGTACATCTTTTTCTACTCCAGTTCCATAAGAATAACACACACCAAGATTATGTTGAGAACTGGCAACTCCCTGTTCAGCTGCTTTTTTATACCATTCAACTGCTTTTTGTTCATCTTTTTCTACTCCAGTTCCATCCCCATAACATACAGCAAGATTATTTTGAGCACTGGCATATCCTTGTTCAGCTGCTTTTTTATACCATTCAACTGCTTTATGTACATCTTTTTCTACTCCAGTTCCATTACCATAACACATACCAAGACAATTTTGAGCTTTGGCATATCCTTGCTCAGTTGCTTTTTTATACCATTCAACTGCTTTTTGATCATTTTTTTCTACTCCAATTCCATCCTCATAACATATACCAAGACAATTTTGAGCTTTGGCATGTCCTTGTTCAGCTGCTTTCTTATACCATTCAACTGCTTTTTGCTCATTGTTGTCTACTCCAGTTTTATTTTCATAATATACAGCAAGATTACATTGAGCATTGGCATGACCTTGTTCAGCTGCTTTTTTATACCATTCAACTGCTTTTTGTTCATCTTTTTCTACTCCAGCTCCATTTTCATAACACACACCAAGATTATATTGAGCATTGGCATAACCTTGTTCAGCTGCTTTCTTATACCATTCAACTGCTTTTTGCTCATTTTTTCCTACTCCAGTTCCATACTGATAACACACACCAAGATTGTATTGAGCACTGGCAGCTCCTTGTTCAGCTGCTCTGTCACCTTGATCCCTTTTTTTCATTTTAAGTACAAGTGCACGGGTATTTATAGTATAATATAGTAAAAAACAGTTTTTCAGGGTAGCAAATGTTATTAAATTTCACAGTTGTATATATAGTAAGTGTTGAATACAGTGAAGTTTTTGGAACAATGTTAAGGAAAATGCGCAGTAGCTAGTGTAACCGGAAGTTACAGATACCCCTGAAAATGATAAGATCAAAAAATCGAATTATTTTGGCGTAAGTTTATTTTTAACTAGAGATGCTTGAGATATGCTTCGTTGTAGGGAGTATCGATTCATAATTAGTGGTTGTATGCATATAAATTGGTGGAATATGTTTAATGGAGGCGGTGTTATATTTAATTGTCTGTCGAGCTTTATTCTTTGTTCGCAAGGAAGATGGGATTATGCAATGTAGGTATTCGTTGATTGGGTTGGTTATTGGGGTAAATTGCTTATTATATAGTTTGCGTTGTCATATTTTTGTTATTTAATATACTAATATAGTTGAATATGTTCTGCTGACTTGACCCCGTTCCGAACGGGCTTGGCCAAATAATTGTTACACAATGTGATGTGATTGTAATAAATGATAATCGGGAATTTACCCACACAATACTCAGCTCCATAAATAGAAATATTATAGACTGTACAATGTGTCGGGTTGTGCGACCTGACAGGAAAATTCCTGATAATTAATATGGTGCACCAACTCTATACTCGACAATTTTTCAATTTGTTTCAATTTCTTAGATGCAGTGTAACGAAAAAATCGTCCAATAAAATCCGACGATTTAATATCATGTGATATAATACAAATCGTTTAGTGTTAGTTATTATTGTACCATAATCGCATTAATAGTACACTAACTGATAAGTTTTATAATCGTCCATAAAATGCCTCGTCTTAATAAACGCCGACTACAAGTAGCAAACAGGAAGCGAAATACAGACGGTTGTTTTTCTAAAATTCAAGAGCAACAACAAGAATCTAATGATGGCCAAAAGCAAAATTCGGAGAATGGAGAGATAATAATATGGTCTGCGGAGGATTTTCAGGAATTTGAAGATGTTGAAAAGAGGTTTGAGTTAGTCTGGAAAGAAGATGCGTTAAGAAATAAGAGAGTCTACTATGATTCTACGTCAAGAGCAACTCAATGGCGTAAACGAAAAGCAGAAGAAGAATTAAAAAGACATGCACATTCATTTGCAAAAATTGATACCTTTTTTCAACCATTAACATTAATATCATCACCGGCCTTGGTATCAACATCAGAATTTACATCTCCATTACCATCGTCTTTCTTTTCTGACTTACAAGCATGTTTAGAAGATCTGAGTAATCGTTGCAAAATTCTTAAATCAAACAATTCTTATGACACATATGAATATATACAACTTTTAAGTTTACATCAATATTATCAGTTGTGTTTGAATGGGATGGGGAAGATGAATGCAAGTTTGCAGGTTGCAAAAGATTTTTGGGGAAAGGGTGACTACATGTCACGTTGTATTAGAACTTGGGGTAATTATTTTTTGCTTAATGGTAAGCTTCCTGTTTATCAACAGGGAAAACATACAAAAATTGAGTGTTTGCTTGATAGTGAAGAATTTGTTAATCAATGTCAAAAATGGTTACGGCAGCAAAAGCCAGAATTCCGTCTTTCTAAAGAATTAAAAAATTACATTGAAGAAACAGTCTTTCCTAAGATGACTGGATACATAAAAAAAGATACAATTTCAGAAGAAACTTGTCGAAAATATATGCACATATGGGGATATAAATATGATGAAAAAAGAAAGGATGTATTTTATGATGGACATGAATGCCCAGATGTTGTTCAGTATAGGAAAGAATGGTTAAAGAGAATGTTTAATTATAAACAGCTTATGAAAGATTATAATGGTGAGATGTTGGATGAAATTATTGAACCACAACTTCAGCCTGATGAGAAAGAACATGTCATAATTACACATGATGAGAGCCATTTTTATGCCAATGAAGGGCAGAAGAAATTATAGATACAAGATGGAGAAGACATTCTGAGACCAAAGTATCAAGGACGTTCTATAATGGTGTCTGATTTTCTTTGTGCTTGTCATGGCTCTTTGCAATTAACTGATGAGCAGTTGAAGGCTAATCCACATGTTAAGTTCAAAGATGTGCATGTTTTACGATCAATTCAAGCAGATGGTTATTGGAAAGCAGAGCATATGATTGAACAGGTAAGTAATGGTAACTAATTGTAAGCATGTAGTAATCACAAGTTATTATAAAACTAAATTCAAAAGAAAAAGACCTTGTATTATTCTGTAGTTAACATTTAATCAGATAATAATAGTTTTTTTAAAGTTAATGAATAGAGCAATCCCTATCTTTGAAATAATCCATCCTGGCTGCATTGGAGTCTTTTGTTTTGATCAGTCAACAAATCATAATGCAATGGCAGAAGATGCACTAGTAGTTACAAGAATGAATTTAGGCCCAGGAAAAAAGCAAGCAAAGTTGCGTGATGGTTGGTATATTAACAAGGAAGGGGAAAAATGTATTCAAAAAATGGTTTTTGGTGATGATGCTGATGTTGAGTTGAGAGGAAAACCAAAAGGAATCCAAACAGTATTAACTGAGCATGGGTTGTGGCCAGCAGAGAGAATTAGGCTTGTTTGTACTCAATGTTCTGGTAAAATGAAAAGGGATCCAAATAGGCAGAACTGCTGTGCAAGACGAATTTTGTCATGCCAACCAGACTTTTTAGCGCAGAAGTCAGCATTAGAAGAAGTGATAATTGCATCAAACCATATATGTGAAAAGTATCCAAAGTTCCATTGTGAGTGCAATTTTATTGAAAGATACTGGGGATATGCAAAACGGGAAACAAGAAGGAGATGTAGTTATAATTACAATGATTTGGTAAGAGTAATCCCAGAAGTATTGAATAGTATTCCCATTACAACAATCCGAAAATTTGCAAGAAAGTCATGGAGGTATATGGATGCATATGATAAAGGGAAGGATGGCTGAATGGGCGGTAAAGAAATATAAATCACATCGTCGATTACCAGATAATATTAACGAATTTTTTGAATAAACAACAAAAATTATCAATTGGAAATGATCGCTTCCACTATCTATGTTTCAATTTTTCGGAGGGCTCATATATTATTATAAAAAGTACTCCGACTTTAAAACCTTTCAACTCAGCGTAGAGGCATTTTTATGACAAACCAGCCAGTAACTTTGTAAAGCATATCACAATAAACATAATTACTGGCTGATTTTCTAAAAAAACGTTTCTGCGTTGAGCTGAAAGATTTTAAAGACAGGCGGTTTTATTGTCGAGTATAGAGTTGGTGCACCATATTAACTAGGTAGTGGTTTTTTTTGGGGGGGCTTCACCCCCTCCCCGTTCTAGTAATTGAGAATTTGTTAATGATTTAATTTCTGAAAAGGAAATACATGAAGAGTGACAGTAGTTTGTGTTATTAATATATGAGCGAGATTATTTGTATACGTAAACAAAGAATATTTTAGAGCAAGTAATATAATATTAATATGATTATTTAGACATAGTCGAACTGGGCTTTTAAATTATGGCTTTATCTTATAAGAACATTTTTGTTGCTTTAATTTTTATTATGTTACTCATTTATTGGGAGGCCTTGTATGTAGGTGAGTACGTGGTAAGGTAGTTCTTTGTTTGTTTATAATTATTATAGATAAGACAACATCGACAGACAGGATTCCGTTGATTGATTTACTCTAACTATTCTTTTGCTATTTGGAAAACTCAATCGAGAGTAACACAAACGCATCAGAGCACCACTGTTAATGAAAGGTTTGCCAACAAAGTCTAGAGAAAATACAAAGAAAGCATGTCCAAGTCTCCTACCAGCGATACCCGAGATCCTACTTTGTTCTCTCATGTAAATTTTTCTTGGAGGATTCGTGGTATGGTGTAATATCAAATTCTGCTATATTTAAGTTTGATCTACGTATTGTGCGGTACGAGAGGTAAACGTGTGATATTATTTCGTACTTGGGCAGCGTGGCGATTGTGCGGATCCGCATGCGTGTGCGTGTGGTATATTGGATGAATTATACGCAGTGACATGGCACTTGAATGGGATAATCTGGAGAATTGGAGTAGTAAGTAAGTGGACAAGGTATAGAATAATTAATAATGTGTTAGAAAAGGAATAATTGTCATATGCTAATTACTTACAGTCAGTAATTATCATGTAGCGACGTTATCGTGCCGGCTAGTTCGAGTATGTCATCTAATGCAAAAGTCATTGTTGCCCGCCAGTCTGGTTTATCTTTCGGCACGTATACATCGAATCGAA